CCTCTGACTCCTGGTTTTGATAGAAAGGTTTTGCCTTTTTGAACTTTCTTGGTGTTCTTCATGACGTCCAACACTTTCTCAGTGCTAATGCTAACCAATGTAACATATTAATGTATATAAAAAACAAAGTAACACATTGACTTACATGGGCTGGACACAAAGGCAAATTGATATGCCAATTCCGAGGAGCAGTGTATCAGTAGTCAGCTGAGTTGATCTTAAATCAGGAAGAGGAAATGTGATCTGTGGCTCTGGCCTGTCCACAACACTGGTCCTATTGTCAGTGCAGGACTGTGGCTCACATTTGGAAAACACTGGGGACTTTTAAAGGTTATCTGTCTTGGGAAAAGGATGATATTGACTTTCACAAGTACTGAACTCTGTCACCCAAATGTATGCTTGATGCTGACCTCCTTGTTGTTGAGTGTTACTGTGTTTTACAGAAAATATGACTAATTCAGAAATTCTGGAAGGTCCCTCTTTGCTCATCTTAGTCACTAATAACAACGAGCAAAGTGAAAATACAACATATTACGGAACTTCAGTTTATGAGTTTGCCTTTTATCATAAAAATGATTCCCTTCATTTCTTTGAAAGACAATTGTACTACATGAATAGTTTTCAATGAATATTTGTCAGAAGTGAAAACGTATTCATGGCAGATGTTAGGAAACTCTCTGCAACGTGTAATTAAACTGCCTTAAACAGAAATGACCAAAGCCTCACGTCAAAAGTCAGATAAAACTTCTACTTTAAAATGTAATTGATGAGACGCAGCATAACGTTTAATTATCTCTGAATGTCCTGTGACCAGAATCTGACAGTTTTCATCCTGATCACTCTGGACCAGCCTTTACTGGTTTAACAGTACTTTACACACAAGTGAAAAAGGACAAAACTCCCTTTTTGTCATAAATGTAACAAACAGTTCAACAGTGCCAAGGTTAACTAACAGCGTTGTTAAAACTGTTTCAAGTCGTGCAAGCCTTTGTTTTGTTTGGCAGGGCATGTGGAACATGAGAAGAGTAATCGTCAGTCAGGTGACAAAGCAGTGATACCTTTGTTTGTTAAAAACGCTGAGTACTGATTGACATTAATGCTCAATAAAAAGCACTTTGATCCTGCAGATATTGGCAGTTTGAAGCCGTTTTCGTTATCTCTGGTTACCCACTGCAGAAGAAAGAGTTCTGGAACTAAAACCTGCACTAAAAAACTTCACTTTGACAGATTATTAATATACAAAGTTGACAAATATTAGTATACATGACACAGTATACAGTCTCTAGTCAAATGTCAAAATTCATGCTTAACACCTGATCAGCAAAAGCATTTCATGCTTAACACCTGATCAGCAAAAGCCATTTGTTATCACAGTTTATTGATTCAGTGGAGCCAATAAGATCTGAAGAATCCATATGAATCATATGACAGGTTCAGCTGCGTCACACTGTGCTCTACAAAACCCTAAGACAAGAACCAGTTGCATGAGGCAGGAGTCTTACTGGATTGACATTGTCATTTACTGTTGATTTCTTTTGCAAATTAAATTTAGGCAACTCAATTCCAAAACTCTGGGAACAGTTCTAGCAACGGAGAACAAAGTACAATATTGTTTTTTTATGTAAGTGTAAACCATGAAACGCAGTATAAATAGTTGCAGAGGGAAACTTAGATGTCATATAATGTTAAAGCCAACATATAAAGCTCCCGAGAAGCTGGAATCGTTAAAGTACTGCATTACGTAGTTTAAGTCGTTCCATTCTGAAAGGAACAGATGAAACATGGACACCCTTGCTTTGGAGCATAAATCTACTGCCTCAGGACTTTTATATTATATATTTAACGTTGATATTTGTGTAAATTAAAGCCGGAGGGACCAACCCATTTGAACAAGAACTACATCTTGAAAAGAATCCAAAAGGAAACATAAAACCAGTGGAACGAGGCCAACAGTTGACATTATCTACTGTCTTCTCAGCTCTAAGAGAATTACTGTTCAGCATTTAAACCAAGTTGTTACAGAGGCATGTACTATAAAATTATTTAATTTTAGGAAAGCCACCAGGCCCTTCAATAGGCAAAAGAAATGGAACAAATGTCAAATTTCAAACCACCATCTAAACCAAAGACTTAATTACATTTAGACTGAGAAAATTTAAATCAAAAGAAACTAGGTGTATATTTTCCATAACACTGTACTTTAAGATTTTATGTTTGTTGTGTGATAGATCCATGGGGAATGCTGTTAAATGTCGACTTCAGGGCCTATGTTCTTAAGGTCTTGACAGTTTTCAAGTCTACTTTAACAATAACAGTGAAAGCATATTTTTATATTAAATATAAGAGGACCATTCAAAACAACAGAACACACTTGAAACCAATGCCAGTACCAGGTAAGGGCTCTTATTAAAGGAAAATACCAGGTAAGGTTTCACAAAGGTTGGAAGATATGTTTGATATTATGATCAAAGTAGTCAGTGAGATCCTTTAGGAAATCTGCCCGCACACACACACATACACACACACACACGCAGACTTACATAATATACACCAGTTGCTGGTCTTTGAAAAGGTTAGAGATCAAGTCACTCCCAGCTAATTATAAAACAATAAACATATATACACATGTACATACACATAAAAATAATTATCCATAACTGCAACAAGAAAATGCCAAATTTTCAAAAATACGTGTGAAGTGTGAAAATGAAAGCGACTACATCATCTGGCAAAGTGGTTATTGGTTGTATAGAGTCCTGGGTTCGATTCCCAGAGGAACCGCATATGCATAATGGTGCCTTCCATTCTGTAAGTCAGACGCTTTTAAAAGCGTCTGCTGCACGCAAAAATTAAAACTGTAAAGAGTGCACAATTTGTCTCCTACGTTGCTAGTAAGTGGATGGGAAAGTACATTTCCAATAACGCTTCAAGTTAAGAGTAAGGCTTCTTAGAGACTCTGCTTTCAGGGAAGTGACCGTGAAAACATGATCTGTCTAATCTGTGTGCTATCAATGAAGCTGAGCTTCAACAGGGTTTAATACGGAGTCAGATTTGAAAATAATTGCAAGGATTCTTCATTAACAACCGTTTGTGAATCAACTTGTTCATCACATTTCAGTGCACCATCGTGTGCACAGAGGTACAAACGGCATTCCATTGAAACGTATTAGGATTACTACGGGATCAGAACTGGTGAGTGGGAAAAAGGAAAGGCGCGAGAGAGTGGAGGTCGTGTTAATTCCTTTGGCACGGCCCACGTGAAAACTTGTGTAACTGTATCCATACAACAGTACTGGGGCTATGACCTCATGCCGTCCACTGAGGCAACCTGGACACATGAGAACGTTATCCTACGCCTGGTCACTTACTGCTATCGCATGCGTGTGTGTGTGTGTGTGTGTGCATGCATGTTTTTTCCTGTGACTGGGTGGGATCTAACAAATTTTTACAACTTATGTCACAATAAAGCACACAGAGTCAAACACAGCTGCCCACCCCAAAGCCCATCAAACAACTGAGCGCTTGTTGCCTGGTAAGTGAATGACTCAAACTTTTCAATGACGTATTGGGGAGAAAATACACGCAGTAGGAAATTCTATGCACAATGAGGCCTTAATGCCATAATTGCACAATTATTGGTCGTATGCAGCTCCTTCAAAGGGAACTGTTGTCATTGCGATTAGGTTCATTTTCACTGCACCTACAGTTTACACGGTCACAAGTTCACCTACATTTGAGGTCACACCTACTGCAGCTGAAAAAAGAAAAAAAACTGGACTCATGGAACTGACATGATGCCATGCTGTTGCTGTGTCTAAATATTGTTTAGTCTGGAAAATGTCTAAACTTATCCTCCAAAACTTTTGACATTAACATCCGCTGTACTGAAAAGTTCATGGGTGCAGCCCAGGTGGACACGTTCTTTCATCAAAAGCCTTCCCTTACATGTTATTGAACAAAAGGTTTTGTTTTGTTTTTTAAGACAAGGCAAATAAGACCGAGGTGAGCCTAGATTTTAGGGACAACTTTGAGTTAAATTTGGCTGTGTGCCGTTTTAAAATTAATTTTGAAGCTTATTTTCCTATTTTGTGTTAATACATAACACGAAGGGCCCAAAAAATGTGTTTTTGCCATTGAAAATCTCAGGTCAGGTGGCCTCCTGCACCTGCAATTGGACACAAGCCAAAAGAAGTTGATTTTACGTTATTTTTAAGCGAATTATGGCACAAATAGAAGGCAAGTATTTGTTGTCTGTTTTTATTTTTCCGACACATTGTTTTGCAACTAAATAAAAACAACACGTGGACTGTGTGAAACATACTTTAAATCCAACTTTTTAAAGTGGTACAAACTCTTCCTTTTAGCTTCGGTCACAGCGTGGCAGCTGCGGCAGTAAGAAGTGAAGGCAGCCTACCTGAGCGGCGTTCAGAGGAGATGTGCCGTGTGTGTTCACCTTCCACGGAGGAAAACCAGCCAAAATGTAAAGTTGCGAGAGTCAGTGTTGACGACTACAAAAATAAATAAATAAAGAAAAGTGTGTCCAGCAGACTGTCCTTGTCTTCTTGTTACCCTTCGTGTCACAGCTGCAAAAGCCAAAGTCGGGCACCTGGAACTGTTTGAGCCATGATGTGAGGCGAAGACTGAACCGTACCGTGTTCGTGCGTCTCTGTGCGTCTCTGTGTCTGTGCGTCTCTGTGTCAAAGTGTGACGGTATTGAAACCGCAGATAAGACCTCCCGCTGGAAGTCACGTTTATCCGCTTTTGTTTTGTGTCTGTGTGTCGGCGGTATAGTATGAGAGCTCCACCTGCTGAGCACTACTTGGCAACTCTCTGCAGTCTGTGCGTTTGAGCCGTGGGGGGGGGGTACAAGGGATTTGTCTTGGTACGTCAGTGCATTCATATAGAATAAAATGAAAAAACGAAACAAGAATTCATAAATCTATACAAAACAATAAGTTGTTCACGTGTGGAGTACAAAACACCCTAATGTTATGAGTTTAATGTTTGTCAACATGAAAAAAAAATCTAAATCAAATTCTTGTGGTATCTTGAATGCCTGAGTCCTGACTCTTTTTTTTGGGGGGGGGGCTCATATTACTGGCATTAAATTGTTAAAAATAAATACATAAATCATTGAATAATAATACATTCTTTTGTCTTTTTATCCATTCCTTAAAAAATATTTTTCATCATTTTTAATAAAGAAACATATCAGTCAGCATAAATGTAATCCATTTAAATATATGAGTTATATATTTTTTTCATATGAAACTAATATATTTGAGTTAAATTGTAGTGTTTTGAGTTTGATGTCATTCATACCTCAGTTCATTTCCAGACACATTGCTGTAGTTGCTGCCATTGTTTGTGTTTGTCTCCACACATCACCAGACGTCTACAGAGCTCTCTCTCTCCCTCTCTCTCTTTTTTTATTTCTCCCTCTCAGACCATTTTTACTTCTCTGTGCCGTCATTAGTGTGGCAGGTGACGCGCTGATCTGATTGGACGGAGTGCAGGCCGAATTCTGTCTCCCCCGTTTTTCCAGTGCGGTAGACACATGCGTTATATGATGTGGAAAAAGTCTTTACCAGACATTCATGAGGGATTTTAATTTATAGAAGAGGATTTGAAAAACTGAAGGTCAAAGTAAGAGAGAATTGAAAAAACACATATGGTATACATGGACTCCAAGGTGGAGTTTTGTGGCCAGTAAGGCTCACTTCTCTTCCACTCACAGGAAGCCAGTAGGAATGAGAAGAATGCAGTCAGGCAATACGTTGATGGAGGGAGCAGCAGTTGCACGGCAGATTGCCAAAAAAGAAAAAAAAAAGGAGAGAGTTGCAGACAGATAAAGAGAGAGTGGGAAAGTGAAAGAGAGAGGCAAAGACAAACATCCATTGAGATTCACAATGAGGCAAAAGCCGGGACTGGCATGTGTGCAGGAAACACACACACACACACTCTAACAATTAGCATGGTGTACTGTAACAACTCTGTCAAGTGCTGACAGTTTGATGTGAATAACATGTGTGTGACATTAATCACATCGCTAACACAGATGCTACAGTTTTGTAGTGCAGTGTCATTGGATGGTGTGTAGGTGTCACTCACGTATAGAATCTGCACATCGACCAACAAGACCAAAGAGGGTACACCAACCTTTAACTGCAACCGCCCCCCCCCCCGTGTCAGATCATACAACCATAAACAGTAGACGTTCAGGAAACACCCATTTACAGGTTAAACACATATTCTTCATCCATCACCGAAGAAAAATATAGTTTTTTAAAAGTCATATTCAGAAAAAGTGCAATCACTCACATCAAGCCAGTGTAGAAACTGAGTTATGTGATGATGCAAAACACAGACCATTAATGTTTCTCACATAGAAACAGAGGCAAACTGAGACAGAACAAGAAATAGCTCCAACAAAACAAAAAGAAAGTTCCAAAAAATTCTGGATAAAAAACCTTGCATCAAATGCCATGAATGACTCCATGAATGACCAGAAGACGGAGGTCGGTGAATAGCATAAAAATAAAAAAACATAAAAAAATTTTGGTCAAAGTCAGGAGAGGACATCCTACAGACCTACATGTGTTTAAGTAGGCTGCCTGCTGAGCTGTAGCTAGCAGCTGTGTGGTAACTTTAAAGTGAGTAGTTCCTGCTTCCGCTAACTGCAGTGGGTAGCCTTGAAAGCGTTTCCATTCCCAAAAGCAGAGCAAAGTCAACCCACGTAGGCAGCGATGAAGCACTGAGCACTCGCCGAGTTTCTCTGGAAACTGACTGTGATGCTGGAAATTGTTGGTTTTATGACGCCTTCAAAATCCGTGTGTGTTTGAGTGTGTGTGCACATGAATGGAAAAACATCAAAACACTTGTGAACAGCTTACACCTTCTTAAACAGGCTTGTTTAACGTTATGTACTAACAAGGAAAGACTAACTCCATCGTAAAAGCAGCGACAGATACATTTAGATGGAAAAGTAAATATTACTCTGAAAAAAAGACATTACACCATATGGTCTGAATATACATGTAAAAGGTAATTATGAAAAAAAGACTGAGACATGACAAAAGACTGAATGTACATGTAAAAGGTAATTATGAAAAAAAAAATTAAATGCCCTGAAACAGTGAAAAATCGCCCCTCACAGTATTTCCCTGTATAGTGTGACTTTCCCTTGGCATCATTTGAATAATCCACTCCTACTGCAGCTCCCTTTCTTGCAGTAAAAATAATTTTCCACAAGGGGGTGGTGCTAAAATAAATGACTGCATCTATTGTTTGTTATCTCGAGCGTGGCAGTGTGTTTAGGTGTGAGGGAGACAGCACTGGTGCACTCCACTCTCTCTGTGCCACATATTATTAGCATCACTTCCATCAAGCACTCATCTCGGGGTTCTTCCTCGTCTTCCCCGCGCCGCAGCAGATTTCATCTGACTTCACTTGGCAGCTCTCGCTGTCATAAAGAACTCTCCTCAGACCAAAACAGACTTAATGAGAGGTGATCTGTTCTTGGAATCACTAGGACTTTTTTGGCCTACTGTGCAGCCAAGTTACTGAACTGTCCCTCAGAAACTTGGAAAATGTCACGCACCAGTGCAACTCCAAAAGCCAATTTGGTAATTGAAAACGAATATGTATTTACGGTTTGATTGGCCTGACAAAAATCTTAAAACCTTCCCAATAAGTCGCTTTTGTTGAAAGTCTGAAAAGACAAATAATGAAATGAGAATTAAAAAAAGTAGGATGAAGAGGAGGAGGAAAAAGAAGACAACTGGTTTAGATTTGGAACTTAATTTAAACACTCCTCCTCTGACTCCCGGTGTGGGGGCCGTCTGAGTCTTTGACCCTGAGACATGGGAGAGTTATGTCCCCTGAGGGCCACTTCAAACTGGCTGTGGCCTCTTAACCTCTTAACCCTTGTCATTTATAAACCAAACAAACCCGTAGTATGATGATTTATCACACTGACAGCGATTCAAATGCCCAGGTTTGCTGGGGTATTTACACAGTCTGGTTGCCCAAAGTATTTATTTATTCTCCGCCAAGTTCAACAAGGATGATATCTTTAAAATGTTTAAAAGGTTTTGTCCAAACCACAAAAGTTGGTTCCCACTCAATAATTTTAACTCTCATCTGCAGTCTACAATCTTTTTTCAACGTTAATGAGAGGAGACAGTTGTCAGTAGGTGGCAGTATTCTAACTTTAACAGTGCAGTGTGGTTATTGAACCTAAAGAAGAAGATATAGAGCGTATGACAGCAGCAGTCAGGATAAGAAATGTTGTTAAAAATCTCTAAAGGAAACTTTCTTTTTGTGTCATGAAATTGAATATTAACATTATATATACATGTATAAATATGATTTTTTTTTAATTCAGGGCATTTGTTGCACTCAGCAAGTTGTGGTTTGATTGACTGATTCATTTAATAATTATCAGCTCAAAATAGCAGAAAATAAGATTGTATATAAAGCTAATGTAAACTAATATAAAGCTAATGCTTGAATAGCCTAAATTGCCAAAACATTAGCTACAGTATAACTGAAAGTTCGCCCTGAAGATAGGCTGTAAACAAATCTTTAAAGAAATACGTTCCAGTCATATAAAAATCCACAAAAAGACCTAGCCAGAGCTGAGACGTATTTGGATTTCTTGGATTAGGAATAAGAGAAAATATTTTGATTTTCGTTTTACTACTATAAACCACAGCATTTAGCTTATATTCTCTTTTAAGGGCTTCACATGGAAATCATCAATTTGGAGAAATGGATGCTTTAAATAATATTCCAAGCATAAATTTGATTAAAGTGAAATCCAGCCTTTATTTGAAATGGTGAATTGTTGCACTGAGAAACCTCTCACACATATTGAGTTAGACAGCATCTGTCTGAGGAATCACATTCTTTGGGTCTGTTCAGCTTTTAACAGCGACGGACTCCCTATAAACCTTTTATTTCCACGGGACACAGAACTGGTAAAGCCTAATTTATTGGCCCAAAAAACAAGTCGACAAGTCTCTAAAAATGGAGCAGCACCGGGGAGTAAAAATAGAGCGAAAGTTTAGTGTTTTGGGCAACGGAGCAAGGAAAAGCTGAGGCCAGCGTTTTTATCCAATGCAGCAAGATTTATGTACAGAGCAGGAAAACAAGGAAGGATGAGGTATAAAAAAAAGGTTAAACCTGCTGCACATTAAAGTGGGTGAGGTTTTTTTTCTCTCACTTTATATTAATGTGGCTTTTAAACATGTGGCAGCAGTGATGCAAAGCACACGGCTGGTTGGAGATTCCCCAAAAACCATGTGTTTGTGGGCAGAAAATAGATGTATGTTAGTATAAGCAGGAGCTGACAACTGGAGTGTTTCAACACTTTAAAATGTTAACATCTCTGCTCGGCAGTGGAGGAATCCAGAGAGGAGACGAGCCAGGGTTGTTGCTACACTTATTCCTGACGCTCACAATCATGCTCAGCACCTCCGTCTGTCTCGGTGTGTTTGTCTCACACCGCAGTGAAGCACTGTTGTTGTTATGTGTCTCCTCATTCTTTGCACTCTAATGCTTTTTGTGGACAGATCCGCTCTCCAGGGGTGACTGGGTCTGTTTCCAATTTTCTCCCTTCTCCGCGTCCCAAGAAACAAGCATTTTCAAAACCCAAACAAATGAAAACAAAGTGGATTTCTTCTTGTCACTGACCACTGTTTGTATCTGAACATCTTTGCGAAATTACCCAGATTGTCTTTATGATTTTTTTTTTTTTTTAAGGCTGTCTGCTCACAGTGAACCCAAGCTTCTCACGGCCAACCAGAGCTGACCGTCTGCTGACCACTGA